TATTATTATATATATAATTCACTTTAACTTTATGTATGCATGTGATGTGGGTACAATGCATGTGAGAAACAGATTGGATCTTGAAACATGGGGCGGTGTCAGACAAAGGAAGAAAATAAAAGGATAAAGATAAGAGTAGTTAAAACCAGTTTAGTACCTACTTTATCTGCAAAATTGGAAGTTGAAATTGAATTGGATAAAACCGTCTCCAACGGGGCAAATTGAAATATTATCTAATATAAATATCAAATACCGAAGAGTTATGCTTCTTGCATCTGTTTTACACTGGTGTAAAGACATCGGTTGGGAGTTGTAAATAAATAATATAGTCCTAAGAAAAATAGATGATCTTGAAGAACTATTCTGATTTTTTTTCATACATCGGTTGGGAGTTGTAAATAAATAATATAGTCCTAAGAAAAATAGACGATCTTGAAGAACTATTCTGATTTTTCTTCATCTTCTCCTTGAATTTTTGCACTTTACTTTTCAAGTTTTAGTATACTAGTTGAATAATTAAAGTTTATTTTAGTGGACATTGTATCCTGTTTTATTATTGTTAACTCCCCTGTTCTCTAAGCACACCCTAAACAGTGACACCCATTCCCAATGGCCCAACCCAAAACCAAAGTTGCACTAACTTGAAGTCTAGATTTTACTTCAGGTCTTATCTAATTGATAAAAAAAAAAAATTATTCTTCATTTTATTAATTATGATTTGATTTTTTTTAGTATGAGAGGTAAATAAGTAGATAATTTTTTTTAATTTTTTAATTTAAATGTAAGCGAGTTATCTTTAATAAAACTATAGAAGTTAACTTAATATAATATGCAAAAACTAACTTATTATACTACTTAATAATTGTTATAAAAAATAATAATAACACTAGATTTTATCCTTTTTTTATGACATTTTCATATGTAGTTCCAAACTAGTAGACAATGTGCATAAATATGAACAGATAATACAATTTCAAAATTCAATTTTTTTTTTTCTCTTATAAGCCATTTGCGTTGATCCACTTCCATTATTGTAGACTCCCTTTGGACAAAGCAGTTCCTACTTAAGACAAAAGAACCTTCATTTTGGGGTTTCTTCATTCCACTATAAAAGGGACAATTCTTTGAGCATTTTGAACACCA